GCCCCCTTATTAATTCGGAGGGGAGGCAGCTCTCAGCTGTGCTGACAGCGAGTCGCAGCCGTAGGATGCTTTGTGTTCTCACCCTTCTCCGGCCGCTTCGGGGGGGACCGTGTACCTGGGTACTTTTAGGATGCGTCTAAACGTCTAAAGCCGGCACTAACCACAGCGGTGACTGTCACTGAGGTCAGGCTCACAGCGCCCGGCGCGGGGTGAGGGACAGCCGTGTCCGATAACTCCAGCGGGGTGTGCAGTGCCCGTCGCGACCCGCACCCGGCGGTGGGGACACCGTGGCCAACAGCCAAGGGACAGATGCAAGATGACACTGGACTTTTGGTGGGTTTGGTGGCAGCAACCATTGTCCTTTGGGATGCCTTCGCCTTCCTGGGGAACTGGCCTTATCCTATAGCAAAGCTAGAAGCCATCAGGGTCGTTAACTGAATTATTAGCATTCCAGATGCCGAGGGATTCTGACCCCGGCATCATCGCAGTGGCACCAAACCTCCTCTGTGTCAGATGGTTTTTGAGCGAGTGTGCTGGGAGCTGTGGTCCCTGTCAGCTGATGTGAGGTGTTTGCACAACCCTCTTTCTCATTGTTGTTCCCCGGATTTGGGGTATTGAGTCTAAACCTGCCAGAGACGGAGAAAAGGAAAAGCTTAAATAGATAATGCTAGGCTGAAGGGGGTGTGTGGGGCGGATAATTGCATCCACTTTTTCAGCTCGGGTAGGGCTCTAAAACCAACAGTTCTATCTCATTAGAAATAACAATTTGTAATTAATAACTTGTGATTAATAACTTGTGGTATGACAGTTAGATGCATTTTGCTCCAGTGGTAGCACTTGCTTCAGATAGAGCGAATGCTGAAAGGAGAAGGCTTGGTTATTTAAAAAAAAAAAAAAAAAAGAAAAAAGATACTTTCATATCAAACTTGAGGAGAGAAATACATCACTTTGAGCTGTGCTCATCCTCCAGAACTGCTCTGCTGTACATGAGTTAAGGAAGTGAATGGAAATTTTCCCTAAAGACGCACGCCTGGGATTTTCCTGTGTTATGGGCTGTGGCATTATGTGCCGGCCTCTTCGGAGGGATGCCAGATCACTACGGATGGGTGTAAATGACTAAATTTAATCAGCAGCAAAATTTTTATTAATGTCTAATGCTAAAGCTCTCTCTAACACCATTTCAGCCTCTGCCCGGGAGGAGATGAGTCCCAAAACTTTACCCTTGCCTTCCTCTAAGCTCATTATTCATAATACTGTGAGAACAGAGTCAGCTCCTGGTTCCTGCAGAAGGAATGTAATTCCTGGAAAGGACGAGGGTTGATCTGGGTAGGGGGGGTCCCGAAGTCGCAGGAGTGAGGCTTCTCAAAGCGCGGCGTATTTGGACAAACTAGCATTGCTTGTGCCCCTGGGAGCAGAGCTGGGGGGTGAAAATCTCTTCCCTTGGACACGGGGAACTGTGGTTTTGCAGCCCCTGGTTTTGAAATGGTAGAGAGGGGGTTTACTGGACATTTGGGTTGGGTTTTATGCTGGAATATATGCAGTAATGTACCTCTTTTTCAGGTGCGTGGCTGGGATTTGTGTGCAGGCAAGAGCTTTGCTCATGTGTGTTGCAATCCCCGGCCATCAACAGCTCTGGAGAGCACTCGGTGATGGAAGCGTGTGTTAGGAGCGAGGAACAAAACGCATCGAAACCTTTTACTTTGACAAATGGATGGCTTTTTAATTATATGCGCTGCATACAGCGTGTTTGCTTCCAAACGAGAGTTTAAAATTTATACTGCAAATGAATATTAATAATATAGACAACTCGGTAAAATTTTAACAGGTCCATTAACATGATGAAGGCATCGAAGGATCTGCTGGCTGTGTACCCTGCTGATGAATAACTTCTTAGGGGAAAAGAAAGCGACAAAAAAACAGCAGAAGGAGAGGAAAATGTAATGACCTGATCTGCTGGAGGCTGTGGGGCGTGAGCCCGTGCCCAGCTCACGGGCAGGGCCCTGGTAGGTGCCCAGCAGCACCCTGACCCTGCGCCCTGGCGTGGCCCTGCCGGCCTCCGGCTGCTTTGTAGGTTTTATTTTTTTAAAGGTCCAGAAAGAAACTACATCTGCGTTAAAAAGAAAAGGCCTGCATTTATCTGAGCATAACTTAATGGAGGATAATCCTGAGGCAGTTCTGCAGAAGGGCTGATGCTTGTCCTGCACAAGGATGTGGATAATGGCTCCGAGCACCGGGTGCCTCGTGCGGCTCCGCTGGTGTTGCCGCGATAATCCCGGGGAGGGGGCTACAGCCAGGGCTGCTCAGGGCGGGGAACAGCAAAAAGGCATCGCAGAGTTTATCGCTGGGAGTCTGAGGCTTTGCTGAGAAAACAGAAAGGGAAGGAAGAGCCGGGAAGTGAGCAGAGCTGGGCAGAAAAGCTGAGAATTGATTTCTTGTCCAAGGGCGCGTTAGCACCTCTCGGCATCCCCGCTTGGCGCGACAGGTATTCCCTAGAATGACACTGTTCATCCTGAGAGGCTGATAAATAATCTGCACCCTCAGGTTTGTTAGTGAATAAGATACATTGATTTTAAAGAAAAATTATATACCTGCAAACATTTCTCTCTCCAGTGAGATTACAGAGGTTTACATCCACGAACCAAATGCGACGCTGATTTTCCTGAGATCCAGCTAATACATTTTCCGATAGGAAGCAGGTATAAAATTCCGCCTTTGAAAGGCTACTGGCGGGAGCAGGTTTGGGAGAAGGCAGGATGGTAGATCAGGAGGCAGAAATAGCCCTGCAGTACTCTGGGGGTGGGAGAGCCTCACCCGGTGGGTGGCGGGTCCCTGCGATACCCCGACATTGCCCTGGGCGTGCAGCATCGGCTGGGGGAGCCCCTGGGGATGGAGATGGGGATGGGATGAGGATGGAGATGGGGATAGGGTTGGGGATGGAGACAGGGGTGGGATTACAGATGTGGATGTAGGTGCTGGCCAGTCCTGTGCGCTGCTCCCCTTCCCCGAGCTCCCGCAGGAGGGCTGACCCCTGTGTTCCCCTCACACCCCTTGTTACACCCCCATGGCATTTTGATAGCACCCCTTTTACAATAAAGCTTTTTTTTTTTTTTTTTTTTTTTTTTTTTGTGTTGCCAATGCAAAGAAAAAGTTTTGCAAGGCCTTTCCACCCAACAGTCCGGTCTCTGCAGAGCAGCGTTGCCGTGGCCGGGGTGGCCGTCCCGGAGGTGTCACAGGAGCCTTTTGGTCATGTCGGAGGTGCGGCTCCAGCCCCGCGGCAAAGTCACAATAACCAACTTTTCTATACAGAGAGATTTGCATTTGAAGCAATTTGTTATCCGAAGCGTAGGTCACCAGAGTTAACCAGCCATCTGCTGCGCAGGCACCGTAGACCCAGTTCCAAGGACGGCTCCCACCGTTCGCACGCGTTACTAGACATGGTCGTTCGCTAATGAGGGCTCCCTCGGAAGAAGCAGAGGGGGAAAGGTCTGGGCTTTCACGGCAAAGGTGCAGCTAATGAACAGCTGCAGAGTAAAGGACACAGATGGAAGAAGTACTCACTCTAATTACTATTTTTCTAAAAATTGCAGGTTTCTTCCTAAACCCATTAGGCATGTGATTGCTTCCACTTCACTTAGTAAACAGAACTGAAACACATGGTGACCGGGTGAAAATGCAGCATAAAGTATGAAATACTGTCCCACGCGAGGCTGTGGAAGGGGGTGGGATTGCTTGGTCTCAGGGTATGCCCCTGCAGGTGGGTGAGCTCAGGTGAGGCGCCTCCGTGGTCGGTGGGAGCGGTGTTCAGTGCAAAACCCACCCCGGGGTCATATTTTTCTCCTAAGAGACAAAACAGAAAACTGAGCTTTATGTCTTGTGACATACTCAGACGTATTAGGAGCAGAAATTGCTATGCAAAACTAAAACTTTTATTCCGGTAGCAGTAACATAAAATGCAATAAAATTGTGGTTTTCTGGCTGTATGTCGCTAGGCACAAATCCATCCCCCATGCCCCCCCGCTGCAGCCCCGCTATTGTTTTTCTTGTGCCTTCCAAAGTTTCCTTTAATTTTCTCCTGACTTAAAGGCATTCTTGCCAGCTAAGCAGAGGATGTGTTTGCAGAGGTAGATTTAGCTTCCTGAAAACCAAATGTCATATTTCCAGTTTGCTATACTAGGATAAAATGGCAGGGTGGTTCTATTTACAGATTGCTAAAGATAACCATGTCAAAAAATAAAAAGCAGCAGCAGGATTTCTTCTAGAAGCCTCCAGTGATCCATGGTCATCATTTCCTTCTGATTTCCAAGGTCAGATGGGTCACTGGGATGGCCAAGTCTGGGTGCTTGGGAGGAGGACTTCTCTCCACGGTGGGAGGCAGTGGAGGAAGAGGAAGGGCAGTGCTCTGCCTCTTAGATTTCTTCTTCCCTGCTAATTTTTTGAAGCTTGGATCTCAGCCTGGCAGCGATGGATCTGTGAGCAGATTGCTGGTGAAGCCCGTAAAGAGGAATAAATGTGTTTCGTAGGACATACCTACTGCTCGCTGGTGGGTTGGAAGGCGCTGACACGGCCTTGGTGTGTGTGTACGATGCCTGAAGCGTGGGGTCTGGTTTGTGTTTGTCATTATGATGAAAATGTGGAACAGCTTAGTGATGCTTTAAGATCCTGAGAAGTCCAGCTTTACGTTACAATGAGCAGCTCTTGCTAATTTAACACCGGGGTTATCAGTTAGCCCCGTATTTCCCTTGGTCAGCAGCACCTGCATAAGTGTCCGTAACAGTAAATGTGAATTATTCCATTTCACTCCTCTATTATTGGCTCCTTTCACCTTGAGAAAGACAGTTTCAGAGCTCCCGTGTGTAAATGGTAGGCACGCCAGTGCCTTTTCTTTTACATGTTTAAAAGCATAAAATGTGTTTCGCTGAGATGTTCAAACCACCCCAAGATCTATGTGCGTCCACGGTGGTCCATAACTGGTGAGAGTTTTTCTCCCTTGCTCGTTGCAGGGATGACGTGCCAAGCCAGGACGTCCTACACCGAGGACGAGGTGCTCTGGGGTCATCGTTTCTTCCCTGTTATCTCCTTGGAAGAGGGTTTCTTTAAAGTCGATTACTCCCAGTTCCACGCGACGTTTGAGGTGCCCACCCCACCGTACAGCGTGAAGGAGCAGGAGGAGATGCTGCTCATGTCCTCGCCCTTGATAGCGCCCGCTGTGAGCAACAGCAAGGAAAGGAATAACTCGGTGGAGTGCCTGGATGGCCTTGACGAAGTTGGCACAAAACTACCTTCAAAACTGCAGAAAATAACCGGGAGGGAGGACTTCCCCAAAAAACTCCTCAGGATGAGTTCCACCACCTCCGAGAAGGCCTACAGCATGGGGGATTTACCCATGAAACTCCAGCGGATCAGCTCGGTCCCCGGGAATTCGGAGGAGAAACTGGTGTCAAAAACCACAAAGATGATGTCGGATCCCATCAGCCAGTCGGTGGCCGACCTGCCGCCCAAGCTGCAGAAGCTGTCAGGCGGCGGCAGGATGGAGGGCAACCTTCCCCCCAAACTGCGCAAAATGAATTCGGATCGGTTTACATAACCCGACGGGACTTGTAGCTAATCCTTTAGAGCTTGAACTGCTTCTGGCAAGGGCAGCGTGGGCAGGAGAGCAGGCCCTCCACCAGCCGTGTGTGTGCTGAACTCTGTGGTCCCCGGGGCGCCGGGAGCAGGAGCGTCCCCTCGGTAGCGGTGGCTGCGCTGTAAGTACGAACGGCGGGACGATCGGCGAGCTGGTGTCCGTTGGCATGTAGTATCACAACACGCATGCAATAATAGTGTGCAATTTTTGCATATAGTTTTATGGCATGACTCCTACTATATTTATACTGTATATTCTGAAAAAAATATGGAAAGGGGCGTTCCTTTCCCCTGTATTTCTTAAGAGTAAGTAGTAGGTAAAACATGCGAGTGGGTAACTTTCAGGGTAACTTATAATTCGATTTGAAAATGTTTATTTTATTTATTTTTTTTCTGATGTGGATCGTGCTGTTTTGTTCAACAAAGTAGTTATGGTGCATGTCTTTTTTCTTAAAAGAAGGTGTGTTAATTAATTCCTAACACCAAATCTGCTAGCCTTAAATTAACTGCTGGTTTCTATTTTGCTTTAACATTTTCTTGGGGTTTCTTTTCCTGCGTCTAGGCTACAGGAAAAAACCTAAAATGTATTTCATAAGGCGTTGTTTAGAGAAGAAACTTGTATTAATAAGCCTAGGCAAAACAATAAATAAATGAATAAAATTTACACTTTAGATACGATTAGTAAAAATTTTTTTAAAATCTTCGTGATTTATAAAATACGTGCAAGAAAACCCATTTTAAATAAGCAGGACGTGCTTGATTTCTCATGTTGATAGAAGAGCTAAATGTGAGAACAGCTGAATGTCTTCATGAAGCCAACCAGGCATTTATTCTGGACGAACTGTACCCCAAAGGCAGAGTCACAATTCCCCCTAGTCCCGCAGTGCCCGGATTTCGCTCCCTCTCGCTTTGGTGGCCTGGTTGGGCCAGTTGCGATGCAGGTGATGGTTGCGTGAGCCGTGGTCTCGCGGCAAGTCCCAAGCCCGGGCAGGCCCACGGTGTGCTGGCTGCCAGGGGCATCTCTCCTTACTGCTTTCTCTATGGTGAAAATGTTTAAACATGTTCTTAACTGAAGTTGACCCTGTGGGTTTCAAAATGAGTAATACTTTGTATAAATGTTTGGTCTGATATCTTTCTGTGCTTCTGTTTGGGTTTCCTTTTCCATCCCAGTTTGCTTCGGCGGGGTCGAGCCGGGAGGGCTGGGTGTGGTGTGGGTGCCCCGTCATGGTGGCTTGCGGTGCTGGAGCACCCCGCGCCGCCCTGGACCCTCCCCAGAATGCCGGAGGTTGGCTGTGGCGTGCCCAGGGACACCCCGGGTTCTCCCCTGGGTCTTGTGTTGGGGGGCCATGTGCACGTCGGCTTCCCGGGGGCTCCTTCTTGGAGGAGGAGGTCTGGGCGAGATGGAGCGATGGGCAGGGCTGTCAGCGTGCTGGGTGTGAAAGGCACCGCCAAAAGCGGCCAGGGAAGGGGCTCTGCCTGACGTCGTCCGTAGGTAAAATCCCTCGAGGCCACGGTTACGTGGTCCCAGCCACGGCCCCGTGTGGGCCTGGAGGTGCACGCGTATCTGCAATCGTGGACGGGCACTTCTGACTCTGAACCATCCTGCGTGAAGGCTAACGCTTGCTACATGACAAATAACAGATCTGATGATCTTTGAGGAAAAAAACCTGGTTTTGTTGTAAATGTTGGCATGGAATAAGAACTCGGAGGCTCAGCACTGCTGGAGGGTTGGCTCAGACACCGCTGTGGCTCAGTGCTCTCCCTGGAAGTTACAGTGTACGACCCCTCAGTTGTACACCTGAGGACTTTCGACTAACTTCCAAAGTTTCTATTCATTGTCATGATTTTTGAGCGGCACTGCATGCTTTTTACACCTTTGGCTGTAGTTGGATTCTCTGCACATCGTTGAAGGGAAGGGCGTGCGTTGCTCCCTGCACGCTGATCCTGGGCTCTACGGGCGCCGTGGGCAGGTTGCTGATGTGGTGAGGGAAAATCTGGACTTCTTTTCCCTTGTTTGCTAACACTTCCTCAGGTTATCTTGTAAAATACCACTGGTTTTTGTACCACACCTAACTCTTCTACCAGTCCTTGACTGACAGCAAAAATAGCGATGTACAATTGCCAGGCGTCAGCAGTAAAAACATCCCTGAGCCCAAACCAGGGAGCCAGGAAGGTTAATGAACATGGTGAACATTCAGCCGGTGGCACAGCCGAGTGGTGAGTCCTGCCAGCAGGCTCCAGCAGGTCGCTCTGGGTTTGAAAGAAGGGTCCCCAGCAGCTTGACCTCTCCTCAAAAACGCCTTTGATTTATTTGGAGTGGATGGGGGAGCACCGCCTCCTTCCCAGGATGTTGCCAGAGCGTGACCCAACCAACCTGCCGTCCTTCGCGACACTACAGTTGGACTAGATATCATAGGTCCCTTCCAACGGGAACGTTCTTCCCTTTCCCTTTCCCTTTCCCTTTCCCTTTCCCTTTCCCTTTCCCTTTCCCTTTCCCTTTCCCTCTTTCCCTACTCAACCCTACCCTACCCTACCCTACCCTACCCTACCCTACCCTACCCTACCCTACTCTACTCTACTCACAAGTAACAAGTGAGAGGACAAGAGGAAATGGCCTCAAGTTGCACCAGGGGAGGTTTAGATTGGATGTTAGGAAAAATGTCTTCACTGAAAGGGTTGTCAGGCATTGGAACGGAGAAGTGGTGGAGTCACCATCCCTGGAGTATTTAGAAGACATGTAGATGTGGTGCTTAGGGACGGGGTTTAATGGTGGACTGGACAGTGCTGGGTTAGTGGTTGGCCTTGAAGATCTTTCCGGTCTTCCCTCCTCTCCCTCTTCCATTCCCCTGCATGGCCCCCAGTTTTGTGGCTCTGGTCTGGAAGTGCCGGTGCAAGGTGGGGTCCCCTGGGGGCTGCCCATCTTTTCAGAATTCTGCCACTGGCTTGCGGATGGCTCACGGTCCAGTTCACTTTTCTTTATGGAAAAGTGAAAGTGACGTGTCCCCAGACTAAGAGCAACCGTGTTTGACCAGCCATGCCCTGGCGCCACCACCACACTCCCTCACAAAAGCCCTGGGGAAGGCGTCCGGCTTCCCGTGCCCCGGCGGGGCGGCCGCAGCGTCCTGCCTTCGGGAGAGCCAAGTGGCGTTTTTCTGTGGGAAACTTTCGATCGCGTCTGTGTGCGGGATTGAATTAAGCAGGAGCAGTGTGGCTGTGTTCTACAAACCGAACTTAAAATAGGTGACAGGGAGAAGTGCCAGAGCTGTAACACGCTGGCAGGCTGAGTGGCTGCAGCTTACTCGGTAGCCTGTATAAAAATATCTGAAAGTACATGAAACACTGGAGAAGTTGCCTCACTTTTATTGAATTAATGCCGTAGGAAATATTAAGTTATGATTAACTGAAAGGTTTGATTTTTTTTTTTTAAATCAAAATATGCACCTGTCCTTGCTGGACTCAAGATTTCCGAGGGTTGTGGCTTGCATTGCAACGCGTTACGGTGACGGTGTGTGCGTCTTCCGTTAATGAGAGTGAAGGTACAAACGTGGATGGTAACTTTAGTTATTTATTCTGGGAAGTTCATTCTGCTTAAGATTTCATTTTTATTGATGTGGCCGCCTCTTTTTTTTTTTTTTTTTTTTTTTCCCTGATGCTTATGCTAAGGAAAAGTAACTGTTTGGTTGCACAGCTGGTCTGTGTTCTGTACTGCTGAATTTATGCTTGAATTATATTGTAAATTGTACATATTCAAATTAGACTAAATGAAATGCATTTTCCGGCATGCAGTCTATAACTGTATAAATGTCCAAGTTTATTTGAATTGTACAAAATAACAAATTCATTAATACTGCAAGCTCAGTTTTATCTAAAGCTATATTAAACTTTCAAAATTTGTTCAGTTTAAATGTGTTTGTCTTTTATCCCGATCAGTTTTTATTCCTTTAATAAATGACTATGTATTCAAGCTGTTTAAGGGGTTCTGATTTCACGGTGTGTGCAAAAGGCCAAGCTCGCGATGGTTCTTGAAAGCAGCAAAAATAAATCCTGTGTTTAGTTGAGCTTCACCTTCAGGATCTTTGGGGACGGTCTGGCCCAGCCCAGCCCCGGGAGCGGCGAGTCAGGAGTCCGCAGGCTCCTTCCCGAAGGACAGCGAAGAGCAGAGCCTGTGGAAAAGCAGCGGACTCTGTAATTCCGGCAGCCCTGGTAGGCCAATGTCCCGCTGAATTTTTGAACTTTAATTTATGAAGTGCCATTTCTTCCGTGGCACGGACTGGGGAGCTCTCTTTCCCTCTGTGTAGAGAAGTAGGGATTTTTGTCGTTATCTCCCCCATCCAGCCCGAGGAATTAAAGCCCCAGAAATCAGGAGAGACTCTCAGATCTCTCCCCATTAGCAGAGCAGACATTCCTCTTCGGTTTTTACTCTAAATTGCCCCCTTGGTGCCTGGGCATCACCACTCAGGGTAAGCAAGATATGTTCTGTGCTAACAAAATAGAAATAGTAGAGGAATGACAATAAATGTGTGATGGTAGGTGGCTTTTTAACTCCTTCCTCTTAAGAGGCTGCTGAATGAAGGTTACTAGAGCAAATCCATACTTTGTTTTCCCCCTGTTAACTGCTCACATTGCTCTGAGACCACTGGTCCACCACATGCTAATACAGATAATATTTTTTTCTATCCTGTTAGAAGAGGTGAGACAGTAAAAGCTGGGGAGTTCGTTGCTCGCACACTTGGTTTCCATTCAGAGTTTTATTCTCAGTGTTATTGCCACACATTCCTGGAGTCACACAGGAATACCTGGACCTGCTGGTGGATGTCCCAGCTTGCGAGGAGCCTCCTCGGGGAATCGAGGGGCCGTCCCGGCTGTTGGTGTAACTGAATTATTGCCGGTGGATCGGTGCAGCGCGGGGCTGTATCAGTCATCCCGCAGCATCAGGCGCAGAATACATTTGAATTTATTTCCTCAGCCATGGTTGAAGCGAAGTGAATTGGTGGTGCTTGGAGATATGAAAATGAAATTGTGGGTTGGTTTTACACATCTACATAGGAAACGTATCTGCCGGGGAGGAAGGGCGAGAAAGAAAAAGAAGCATCCTGCGTATAAAAGCTCAAAAGGAAAGATATTCTTATCCTGTGTTGGAGCAAACAAGAAGATTTACAACGCCTTTAAATGAGGTGTGAGGGCTTTATTCTGCCCACGGTGAGGAGGGAGGTGGGGGGCGTTGCCAGGGAAGAGGGGGCTCTGTGCCCAGGCAGCCCTGCAGCAGCCCTGGCCCCGCTGGTGGTTTCAGGTGTGAACACCAGCACGGGCAGGATTTATGATCAGGTCACTGCTGAAAGCAGCTGCATCCATGTATTTTTTTCAAATATTAGATGTGGGAGACAGGCGGCTCCTGAGCGTGCTGCCGCTCACACCAGCCGCCCCGTGACCGAGCGGGAGCGCACGGAGGGGCAGGAAGCTCAGTATTCACCTGTGGCAAGCAGAATCACCACTTCCATGGATTCGCGGTGATTTACAGCTATGCTGCTCATATTTCCACTTTTAAAAAGGGGAAGAAAAAAAAAAAAAAAAAAAAAAAAAAAGAGGAAAAGAGAGGGGCAGAGAGAGCGCGAAGTCGTCCTTTGATGGCAGCCTAATTTTTGCGCGGTTCTAAGTACCATTTAGCCTGAGTGCAATGCTGGTTTGGTTAATCTGTTTACACCACTTCCAAGCACTCACTGATTGCTGCAAAAATGCACTTGAATTATTATTATTCTCAAGACAAACATCTGTGCCTCATCCATCAGAGGCTGGAAGGGTCTCGCTGCCGTGCTGGGCTGTGTGTGACCCCCCCACCCCACCCCAGCTCGCTGGGCGATGCCCGGGCACAGCATCGAGCTGCTCCTCTGCAACCCAGGTGAGCTGCTTCTGGGGGAGGTTGAGCAGGTTTGTGGACTGAGTTGGCCCCAAGGCCCACCCAAAGGGGTGGTCTGTCCCAACGGCCTCTGCGAATTTTGCCGAGACCCAATGGGTGATGGGTTGGTGAGCGCTGCACCCGCTACGGCCCCCCCGCCCGCTCGCCCGCGGCTTTAACACCAGCACTGGGCTACGGGCTGGGCATCTTGTCCCTCCCACCCAGCTGCCCGTCTTTATGAGCAAAGCAGGAGACATTTCTTCACCGAAAGGGTTGTCAAGTGCCGGAACAGGCTGCCCAGGGAAGCGGTGGTGTCCCCGTCCCTGGAGGTGTCTAAAAGACGTGCAGGGTTTAGCAGTGGCCTGGGCAGGGCTGGGGTAACGGTTGGTTGAAGGTCTTTTCCAACCTAAACGATTCCATGCTTCTAAATTCTTGCATTTCACAGACATTAACTACCTGTACATCCCCTGGCTGAGACTGCTCCGACTGTTTCATCCATCAGAGACCTGCAGCAGGAGACGCGTGTATCTCCCTGGGCGGGAATTGCTCTCTTGACCCAAGTGTTGTCACCACGCAGAGTCCTCCCCCGAGCCAGTGGGTCTACTCGGGAGCTGTGGGCATTGCCCAGTGACGAATGGAGATAACCCCAATATCATGAGGGTTTTCTCCCTATTAAGCCCAGCTTATGGTCACGACAGTTGGGCAACTCAGTGAACCGACCGAGGCTCCCGCCACTCCCCTCCCGCCGGATGGGGGATGCTATCGAGAAGCGAGCAGAACACCACACATGACCACCCGTTGTGCAGGTTGTCACTGGCACCGCCTGCCAGCCCCCGCGGGGGTGTCCACAGAGCCAGCGCAGCCCCACGCAGCAGCTTGTGTTTCAGTGCCCATCTCTGTTCGCCCCAGGAATGGGCTTTGCCAAACCAGAGGAGGTTGGAGGAGCAGCAGGAGCGTGACGTGAGGATGGGATGTGCTGGGGACTGCAAACGCCGCGGGCTCAGCAGAGCTTTGTCTGTGTGTCCAGGCACGGGAGGTAAGGCAGTACACAGGTAAGAAAATACACAGTGTGCACATAACGCTTCCATATACGTTTCTGAGGAAATACATAATCCATGATGTCTGTGCATCCATAATACTATAGGTAACAGCAATCCGCTGTTTGCTAATTCAGGTTTATTCCCCATTCCTGCTCTCCAAACTTTTGCATTTATTTCTGTCTAAAATGTTTGTAGGTTTAGATAAGCTTTTTGGGCACTGCCTCGGGAATCGGGTCTTTGGACTCATTTCACACCAATTGTGTGTGATGGAAAGCTCATGACAGATGGACGAGTGTGTGAAAGCAAGCGAGGGAGAGCGCGGGCACGGCAGCAGCGCTCGCTGTCGGAGTAACCTGGGGAGACTTTTCTCTTGGCATCCTCCAGACTTTCCCTGGGAAGGCTCCAGGCACGGTTTCCTTGAGCGTTCTTGGAGCCTTCATCAGTGACAAAGAAAAGAAAAGCCAAATTAATGCATGTCCCAACACAGGGACAAAATCAAGTCCTGTTCTGGGATGACGCTCAGGTTGAATATTGACATGACCTTGCACCCACTCCAAGGAGG